TCTTATATAACATCTTCTTTATCCAATTGTCTATTAATGAGCATCCTTTTATTTTAAAACATAAGCTTGGGCATATTATCTTTCTAAGATGCTGTTGTGAAATAGAAATATGGAATCACCTTCTGGTGGGTAGGCATTTAGAAAACAGAAAACCAAAGATGAGATACTCAGGCATAGGATTAAACCCCTACATTTGAGCATAGTTTTATGGATTATACAGGGTGGTCACATGCATTATATGTGTTCCTCTTAACAACCCTGAGAGATCAACATTTGGATAATTCCTATTGTACAGATAAGGAAATTGAGGATACAGAGCTTGAGGTTGAGTTAGTAACTTTCCCAAGTATTCTGATCACAGATCCAGTGCTCTTTGAATTTTAAACATGTGTTTAACTCAAAGTCAGACTTTACTCCCAGATAAAAGGGGTAGAGGGTTAGGCACTCACATGATCATCAGCCAGTCAAGTGCACACCGGGTGGGCTATATGCACTGTGGTTGCTCTGTGAGGGGTGCAGGGCCCAGAAGCACAACAATATAAATTGCTTGTACACTGAAAACAGCCTTAGAGTTCATCTGCTCCAACCTCCACCTTTTACCCGAATAAACTAAAGCTCAGAGAGACAGTAAGGGGCTGGCTTGCTAAGATCACACAGCAAGTTAAAGACAGCCAAGATTTGAGACCTGGTCTCCACTGAGGCTGCCTTCTCAAGCAGCCTGCATTCTGAAAGACTAGGCTGTGACAGGTGTTAACCTAAAAATAGAAATGCAAAGTGAGAGGCAACAGCGCTTATTTGAGATCCAGAAGAATTGCAATGTGGGGAAGCACTGATTCAGACAGAAACCCAAATAGTGTTCCAATTACAGGGTAAAGGCAAGGGGTTTTTAAGAGAAAGAGATTGGGAAATAATTACATGAATAGAAGAAAAGAATTTCTATTGGTGCGAATAACTTATGTTACTCTTTAGCTGTACATGACTGGTTACTGATTCTAAAGGATGCCTACAATTTTCAGCCTTGTGGTAAGGGGTCTGCTTGCCTGTTAGCTCCACAAACAGTTGTTTGGAAGGCAATGCGGCTCTGGCCCAGTCCCAAGGTTATTTTGCCCAGTTCACACTTTCCAAAGTTTCAAGGAATAAGATGTATGAGGCAGTTCCTCTGGAATGACTGCCCTGACTCCAATCTAACATGGCTCCACTTATGCCAGTTTCTCACACAGAAGCCATCCCAAGATAAATAGCTATTTACAAATGACTCCTATTGACATGGAACAGGCGAGCCATCCCAAAATAGCACACAGCTATTTACAAATGACTCCTATTGACATGGAACAGGCTGATGCCTCAGGAGCAGATGTTGCTGGGACGGGTGACACAGCATCACATTTCTGAGCAAAGAGGCTGAATGAGCCAGAATCATGTAATCTGTGCTTCCTGGTTTTGTGATTGGATTTATTAAACTCAATGGAAAAAACAGTAAGATTCCTCTAAGGATCAATGCAGTTGTGGTCTCAGAGTTTAAAGAGCCTCATTCAATCAAGAACCTCAAACCCCGACTCTCAGAGAGCCAAAGGGTTTCCACACCATTAGGTGGAGGTCACCCCTTCCTTCACACAGGAGCCTCCTGTGCTCTCAGCATCAGCAGGAACCGTCTCTGTTGACCAGAAGATGCCGGGCAGGGTGGGGGCCCAGTGCTGGGTCTTAGTCACAGAGCACACACCCCTCCCACCTGCTGCCACTGTGTCCACTGGCTGTAAACCAGCCACTTATCTCACCTTCCTGGGGCCAGGTTTACTCTCTGGGAGGAGGGCAAAAATGACTCGGAGATCTGGAGGGAATGTAGGCTCTGTGGCCTGGAAGAGGGACAGCAGGCTCCATAGCCAGACAAACCCTCTTCAAATCCCAACTCTGCTACTTCCCAGCTGGTGGACTTTGGGCCAGTCATGTCCACTCTCCAGGTGTCACTTTCCTTGCCTATGAGCTAACCATCACAATGGGGCCTACAGGGGAAATGAGCTCAACCATGTGGAGCACCTAGTAGTATAAAACTTACATGTGTATGTGCTACAAATGGTAGTCATGACACGTATTTCAACAGCTTAGAATTCATGTCTTAAGCCTACCCATCCTTCAAGGCTCAGCTCAAATGGCTCTTCCTTCTGGAAGCCTATCTTGACTCCCTGAGCTGGAAAAATAATGATGGCAATGTTTACCAAGCTGCTATTATGTGTCAGATGCGGTATTAAGAACTTTAGCTACATTATCGCATGTAATTCTCATAACTACCCTGGGAGGGAGATATTTTATTATACCCATTTACAGATGAGGACACTGCAGTCCCGTGAAAGATTAAAATATCTGTTCTATGTGACTAATATTTACTGAGCACTTACTATGGGTCAGTCTCTGTTCTAAGTACTTTGCATGTATTAATTCATCAAATCCTCTGTATGAGCCTATAAAGTAGAGGTTATTATTGGAATGAAGCTTAAGTCACTTGCCCAGAGATTCAAACAGAGGCAATGTTTTTCCACGTGGCAGTCCCTGTTTAGAAAGAACGGCCAGTCTGAACAGCAGGAAATATTGACACAGGGTCAGACTTAGGGGATATCAGCTTAGGTGGCTACTACACTACCCACAATTTCTGGCAAAGTCCAAAAAAGTCAAGTTTCCAAAGTTGGCATATATTCTCAAGAAACACACAAACACAATCACCTCAAGGCAATGTCATTTTTAACAAACTAACAGTACACATTTCCAGAGAGTATTTCCCAACATATAATTTCAGAGGGAGGGCTGGGGAGACTGACAACATGCTCAAAATTAAGTCACCAACAATGGGGTAGAGAGCTCTAAATAGCTGCCCACTGGTGGTGGGAGCAAACCACAGCATCATCGGTAACAACAGCAGCATTGCTAAGAGCTCTGCTGAGCATTTTGCAGGCATCCCTCACTCACCCCCACTTATCTGAGGGGATGCCTATCAGAGAGGGACTATTACTATCCCATTTTGTTGATGACCAAACTGAAACACGAAGAGGTGTTATTAGTATCAGAGCCATGAATAGAACCAACCCCCAATATTTCCAAGCATGTGCTCCAACCTCTCCCCCACAGTTTCTTAAGATTCATTAGATCCCAGCAGTAAAAATAAGTGGACCTTCCCAGGCTAAGGTCACCCACATGCTACAATCCTTCAGTCTGTCTAGACTTTCCTAGGAAAGCACAGCTCTGGGGGACCCACCATCACCTCCCCTCCCCACCTGAAATGATTGTCTGGTTGATCTGAGAAACACACTCCCAGAGGCGGAACCACCCAGGCTGAGAGCTGCGATCCACCCACCTCTGCTACTAACAAAACAGAAAGTTCTCTCATTTGTTTAAACTATGAAGTACTGTTGCTAAACTAAACAGTTGAGAGGTTATTCACAGTTTGTGTTCATCCTGAAGCCCAAGATTTCTTTTCCATAACAGAACCAGGCTGGAAAATGCTAATGTGCTTCGTATCAATAAGCAAAGATAAGTATTTTCTTGAATGGTGATTTCCCCACAGGCTTGGGCAAGGGAATAGGTTTCTCAATGTCTTGTGTCCCAGCTTGTCGCCTACGCTTCCTCCTCTCACCCCTTCTCCCACATTACCTCCCATCCACAGCATGGCTGAGCTAAAAACAAAGCTAAACAAAATAGGCCACATATATAGTTCAGTTGATCACCCCACCACCCACTCCCACCAGCTCCTCCAGAGAACTTTTATTTCTCTTTTACTTTGGTTTCTATGGGAATTGTGTTTGGGGAGACACCAAAGGAATTTATCAGCGGCAGATGGGTGTGATGTGTGCAGGAAGAGGCAGAGGATCTGCCCCGGAAAATGAGACTGAGCCAACACACATTTGCAGGGGGAGTGAGAGCTCTGCAGGCCTTTGGGGACCTGTGGCAGGTGCTGCTCCTCTTTGGCTTTACCTCACAGGTGAGTTCAGACTTACTTCTGGGGGTACATCGAAAGGTTCCACCTCGACCTCGGTTGAGTTGGTTTTGTCTGAAGCCTGCTGGGGTTTTCCACTGTCCGTTTTGTCACCCTTGTCTTTACTTGAGCCTTTGGAAGATTTGGAGTCTTTGTCCTTTGAAGACAACTTGAGGTCCTTGAGTGCCTTGGAAAATTTAGACTCCTGTGCCCCTCCCGAGAGGATTTCCACAGCAATTTCCACCAAAATTCTGCCCCTGAATGACACGCCTTCTCCAAAGCCTTCATTCATTTCCTGGTAGTCGTCCATCAGACTGTGGTTCCTGGGTGAGCCATACAGGTTAATCCAGGCAGGTCCAAAGGTAGGTAGAAAGCCTAAAAAGATCCCAAACTTTAGTTGTGTGGTTATGTTTACAAGTTGATTATTTTTTGTTTTATGAAAGTTGTGCACAATCATTTAGAAATACATGATATACAGAAAAGACAAGAGAAAATATTTACAGTCTATGTTTTCACCAATGAATAGTCATAATTATCATTTTGCTATATTTCTTTCCAGTCTTTCTTCCATGCAAATGTCTACACTTGTTCACAGTTGAAATAATCTTATGACAACCAAGATTACTCTACCCAGCAAAACTATCAATTAGCATTGAAGGTCAGATAAAGAGTTTCACAGACAAGAAAAAGATAAATGAGTTCATCACCACCAAACCAGTGTGACATGAAATGTTGAAGGGTATTCTTTAAGAAGAGAGAGAAGAAGAGGAAGAAAAAAGATTTAAAAAAATATGAACAATAAAATGGCAATAAATACATATCTATTAACAGTTGAATCTAAAAATTAAAATAAATGAACTAGGAATCTAATGAACAAAATAAACTGATGAATAAAATAGAACCAGAGGCATGAAAACATGGAACAGACTGACGAATCTCAGAAGGAAAGGATAGGGGAGAAAGTCGGAAGAGATAAACTGAAGATCTTATATGCATATATGCAGTACCTATGGACACAGACAATAGGATGGAGAAGGCCTGGGGCAGGGCAGGAACTGGGTGGAGGCAGGTAATGGGAGGGAAAAAGAGGGACATCTGTAATACCCCCAACAATAAATATTTTTTTTTAAAAAAAGGGAAAAAGAAAAAGAAATAATCTATGTATGTTGATGTGCATCCTTGTCTCTTTCATTCGTTGATAAAATTCACCAGGCACCATGCTAGACTCTAAACATACAGCTGAGTGGAGAATAAGGAAAATACAAACATTAAACAAATGTTTACATTGTAGATGTTATGAAGGAGATATACCTTGTGCTGCAAGAACAAACAACAGGCTGATACAGCATGGAGAGGAGTTAGGCAGAGAGAGAAACAGGAGAGAAAAGAGAGATTTCTAGGCAGAGGGAAAAGCATATGTCCTTCGGAAAGGAGACAGAAGAAGCTGAAAGAGAAAGCCAGAGTGGCTTGAGTCCAGAGAGCACGCTGTATGAGATGAATTTGGACAGGTGAGCAAGTTTGGGGGCCCTGACAAGCTCTTTACTCTAGAAATTATGGGAATATTTTAGGGGGATTTAAGTAAAGATATAACATAATTGGATGTGTGTTTTAAGATCAGTCTGATGCCCGCCCAGAATGGCTCAGTGGTTGAGTGTCAACCTATCCATTCTCTGTCAGGGCACATGCCCGGGTTGTGGGCTCAATCCCCAGTTTGGAGCATGCAGGAGGCAGCCAATCAATGATTCTCTCTCATCATTGATGGTTCTCTCTCTCTCTCTCTCTCTCTCTCTCTCTCTCTCTCTCTCTCTTTCTCTCTCTCTCCCTTTCCCTTCCTCTCTGAAATCAATAAAAATTTTAAAAATTCAGTGTGGCTGCTATGTGAATTGAGTGTAAGAATGGATGTTGGCAAACTGGTTTGGGGATCACACATCATCATCAAAATGGAAGACATCGGTGGCTTCTAGGATGATGGTACTGGAGACTGAGAAAAGTAAATATTCTGAGATATGTTCTAAACATAGAACTGAAAAGACCTCAGGATTGTAATTTGCTATTAGCATAAGTATCTTCCTTTCTTAATACATAATGTCCGAGAAAAGACACAGTATCTATGTGAACATCTCCTTGGCAACAGAATGTTCCTTTTATCCAGGCAGTACGACATGGCCACCCTGAATCTTGACAGCCTGGGTTCAAGTCTCAAACCTCCACTCTGTCATTTTTGAGCTGTGTGACCTCAGACAGGTTTGATAACTTCCCTATGCCTCAGTTTCCTCATCTGTGAAATGAAGATGCTAATAATCCCTATCTCATCTATTAGGATTAAAAGAGATAATGTCTATTAAGTGCTTCACTTAAGAGCTCAAGAATATTAGCCATTACTCTTAAATAAATATATGCATCATCATGTGCTTAACAATTACCTTTGTTTTACTGTTATCCATAGTTTTATGCCTAAATGTTTCCTCTCCCTGTCCCGCAGCCCCATCAACTAGATTCTGTCTTTCCATTGAGTAAATTTTAAGATGCAGAGGGATTGTGTTAAAAAGAATAGAAGTATTTTATGGCCCCTGATGTCTACTTTCTAAACACTGTTCTACATCTCCCTGAACACCATCAAGATGTCCCTGCAAAGCTGTGGGTAAAACCCGTTTGCATCTAGCTGAGAAATCTGTAGACGGGCAGAGTGTGCTTTCTGCATGAAGCATCCTGTGGGGAACTGTTCAGCAATATGAGGAGTTAAGTAACAGATATTTACTGAGACCTTCCAACAGGGTCACTCTGTGAGGGGCACAAAAATTCGATCTTGACCTCTGCTTATGCCAAGCCTTCAGTACGTATGTATATATGCACACACATGCACACGCACGCACACACACGCACGCGCGCACGCGCACACACACACACACACATGCACAAACATATACATCAATTAGCACAGATTTGTAGTGCAGAAAGATTGCCTTAGAACTGCAAGGAGGGAAAGTTGTTGGGATATTTAGAGAATCATCACCTACTGATTTAGGTTTTGTGCATAAAGAGCTTTATTCTGGGTGGAAGCTCTTTCGGCCAACTCAGTGGGTGAGCTGGGACTCTGTCCCTCCATGGCCCTTGAGTGCACTGTCGGCAGCGCCTCCCTGCCCTACTCCTGCTCCCCTGTTCCCCTCAGTGCATTGGAGGCATAATTTGGGGGGATCATTTAAACATGGAAAAGCCATTTTTAGCTTATTTTTGACACATGCAAAAATATGTGTCAGGCCAGATGTGGCCCATGAACCATAGTTTTCCCACCTCTGATCTACTCTAAACACTTCATTTTTCAATTAAGAAACCTAAGGCCCAGGGAGAGGGAGTGACTGCCTTGAGGACATATAGTGAAGCTCATGAAAGACCTGGGATGGTGACCAGGCCTCCAGACTCCCAGAATCTGGCTCCATCCTCTGCCCTGAACCTATCAAAATCAGAGACCACACAGAACATGAAGGGCCGACTGAAAGGAGGGAAAGTTGTTGGGGTATTTAGAGAATCATCATCTACTGATTTAGGTTTTGTGCATAAATAGCGTTATTCTGGTGGAAGCTCTTTCGGCTGACTCAGCGGGTGAGCTGGGACTCTGTCCCTCCCTGGCCCTCTGAGTGCACTGTCGGCAGCGCCTCCCTGCCCTACTCCTGCTCCCCTGCTCCCATCAGTGTGTTGGAGGCATAATTTGTGGGGATCATTTAAACATGGAAAAGCCATTTCTAGCTTATTTTTGACACATGCAAAAATATGTGGCGGGCCAGATGTGGCCCATGGACCATAGTTTTCCCACCTCTGATCTACTCTAAACACTTCATTTTTCAATTAAGAAATCTAAGGCCCAGGGAGAGGGAGTGACTGCCTTGAGGACATATAGTGAAGCTCATGAAAGACCTGGGATGGTGACCAGGCCTCCAGACTCCCAGAATCTGGCTCCATCCTCTGCCCTGAACCTATCAAAATCAGAGACCACACAGAACATGAAGGGCCTAACACAGTGCCTGCTCTAAGCCTCTCACTTAAAAGATGAGGGCTCCAATTCAATCATTTCCAGGCCCTGTGTCCAAATCAGACACGTGAGGCTTTACCTTTATCTCCCTCCTGTTCATTGGAGATTTTCTTCAGGTCAATGAAATGGGTTGCCAGCGCTACATCGTTCACGCTGCCTTCATCCCACACCTGGATTTTCACCCTCCGACACAAGGGAGGGAACATTTCCTTGAAGATCACTTGTTCATGCCACACGGGATCGGCACAATTCTTCTGCACTGTGGTTCGCCCCTAAAAACAAAGCCAGGAGAATGGGAGCCATGGGAACAAAATATGACTTGCCCAAGAAAACTCATCAAACCTGCTGGAAATATGAAGTGAGTTCTTAAAAACTATGAACCTTCCTCCACCCAACACCCATGAAAATCAGTTACACCCAGCAAACATTACTGATGTTCTACTCTGCACCTGACACTGTGCCAGGCATTGGGGTAAAGGTGAGTAAGGCTCGGGTCCTGCCCTCAGTGACCAGGCCTCCAGACTCCCAGAATCTGGCTCCATCCTCTGCCCTGAACCTATCAAAATCAGAGACCACACAGAACATGAAGGGCCTAACACAGTGCCTGCTCTAAGCCTCGAACAGGCCTCCAGGCTCCCGAGTCTGGCTCCATCTTCTGCCCTGAACCTATCAAAACCAGAGACCACACCGAACATGAAGGGCCTAACACAGTGCCTGCTCTAAGCCTCTCACTTAAAAGATGAGGGCTCCAATTCAATCATGTCCAGGCTCTGTGTCCAAATCAGACACGTGAGGCTTTACCTTTATCTCCCTCCTGTTCATTGGAGATTTTCTTCAGGTCAATGAAGTGGGTTGCCAGCGCTACATCGTTCACGCTGCCTTCATCCCACACCTGGATTTTCACCCTCCGACACAAGGGAGGGAACATTTCCTTGAAGATCACTTGTTCATGCCACACGGGATCGGCACAATTCTTCTGCACTGTGGTTCGCCCCTAAAAACAAAGCCAGGAGAATGGGAGCCATGGGAACAAAACATGATTTACCCAAGAAAACTCATCAAACCTGCTGGAAATATGAAGTGAGTTCTTAAAAACTATGAACCTTCCTCCACCTAACACCCATGAAAATCAGTTACACCTAGCGAACATTACTGATGTCCTACTCTGCGCCTGACACTGTGCCAGGCACTGGGGTAAAGGTGAGTAAGGCTCGGGTCCTGCCCTCAGGAAGTTCTCATCCTCATACTGGGACGGGGTCGAAACTAACACTGTGCTATGAACAGCAGTGTTCCCCACACCTCAGGGAATGCAGCAGATTTAAACCCAGAGTTCATGTTTTATAAAAGGAGGAATCTGTGCAAATCACTTCCCCAGTCTGGACCTCATCATAAAATGGAGTTGATGTCCTATTGACCGCCAAGGCAGTCCACGTCAAAAATACTCCAGTGTTCACCCTGCCGAGTGGAGGGGTCGGGTAGACATATAGTTAAGGGCAGAGGCAATATGTGACAACTGAAGCTTCTAAGCCCAGCCAACCAGGATTGAGCTCCAACCATGTGCCCAGGCCCTGGTACTTCCAATGGCTCTTAAGCAGGGAACAGGGATGTTCAGATTTACACAGGATAATGACCACCTGGGCAGACTGTGGAGCAGATTGGGAGGAGGCTGGTAATTCTGCAGGGACTGGGTCACAGCTCAGAGAAGTAGCCAGAGGTAAGAAAGGCGGCCTGTCTGCCCAGGTTCTAACCATGATGCCCAGTGGCAGGGTAGACATATAGTTAAGGGCGGAGGCAATATGTGTCAACTGAAGCTTCAAAGCCCCGCCAACCAGGATTGAGCTCCAGCCATGTGTCCAGGCCGTGGTACTTCCAATGGTTCTTAAGCAAGGAACAGGGATGTTCAGATTTACACAGGATAACGACCACCTGTGTAAATCTGCAGACTGTGGAGCAGATTGGGAGAAGGCTGGTAATTCTGCAGGGACTGCGTCACAGCTCAGAGAAGTAGCCAGAGGTAAGAAAGGCTGCCTGTCTGCCCAGGTTCTAACCATGATGCCCAGTGGCTCCTCTCCATGATCTCCAATGGACAGTGAGTGAGCAATCTTCCCCTTCTTTCTTGCCACATGACTCGGTGCCTCTTTGCGGCAAGTTTTTTCTCTCAAGGCACTTCCTAATTTTGATTTTAACTTCATATCATTTGACTAGAAATGTCCTAGGTAAAGACCAGGCCTGTCATTGTTGGTGACAATAGTTCCTCACCATCTGCCCAGCGAAGGAGACCTCCACGAAGGGATCCACGAGGTCCTTACTGTCACCCACAAATGCTTTGGTGACGTTCGCCATGATGCTGGAGTTCATCTTGGGCAACCCTTCTGCTTTGTAGAGTCTCACATAGAATCTGGCCCAGGGTCTCTCTGATGGAAACCCTTGAGGGATTAAAAGGTTCCTTAGAGGAGGACAAAAACAAAAAATAAAAAAGCGCTCTCATGTAAAAGAATAGGGACAAAAGCTAGAAGCATAAAGAAAGATCCTGATATGTGACAGAAATCTGAAAAGATTAGGATCTATTGCTAAAATGAGTTTTCTTCTTAGTTTAATGACAGTGAAGGGTATGATTAGAGTGAATGCAAACTCACTTAGGTCCTACAATTATAGAATAAACACTGTCTCCCACGCTGTACCTTACAATAGGTACATTAAGTCTCCCCATTTTATAAATCAGTGGTTGAAATTATAATTCTTTCAAAGGAAAATCAGCTAAATTCAAATAAATCAGATAAGCTCAGGAATAGCTTGTCTGTTATGGGTTATTATAGGAAGACAGGCTCTACTTGTCCTAGAAACTGACTTCCAAATGCATAGTTACACCTTCCGTCAGACACATCTCAATGACTCAGATAGAGCAGAATCCCATGTGGATAAGCTATAAACTTGGCCATTCTCGTGTACCCATAAGGAAAGGGAGGGAGGGAAAGAGATATGGAAATGGGAACATATCATTTCCATTGCCCAGCCCTGGATGAATCTGTCTCACTTTTCTATTTGTTCCTCAGCATCGGAGATTTTCGGGTTGGTCTTTAAGATGTCGCCTTTCCCAATCACGCTGATGTCACACTTCAGATACCCCTTCGTGCCAATCCTGATATCACCAGGGTCTGTGAGCAGGGCCCACTTGTCACAGAACTGATGACCTGTAAAAGTGTCCTGACAGCTCAGATATCCTGCACAGATGGACCCAGCCCCACCCAATGCTCTCCCACACCCAAGGTCTCCCACACTCTACTGAGGGATTACCTCATCTGGGCTATTTCCAAGTCTCATGCCACCTCCCTCTCCTCCTTTCCCACCTGTCCTTTACTTCCCATCCTCTTCACCATCTTTTTCTCCAACCGGTCACAAGTATTTGGGAAGCCTTTCAACCTGATAGAAATCCTCTAGCCAGAATTCTAGATTTGATGAAGTAGGAGGACATTAAAGGAGTATAGAAGTCACATATTATTTCACAGGCCATAAATGTGGCTCATGGATTTTTTTGTTTGGCCTACACTGGAAGTCCAAACTTCAAAATCTCATACAAAAACCTATACTTCTGGCTTATCCAAAAACAAACTGTTAGACCAGGCAATACAGAGGGCACATTCCACATGACAGCAGAAGGTAAAGGAGCTGAGTAGATGCTAATCCTAATGGAATTAGTAGAGCTAATTCAAACTCACATGACCTGGACCCCTGGACATGTGAGTTTGAATTACAGTTGAAGAAAAGAGGCCTT